GCTCTCACACTCACGCTCTCACACTATTCGTTATCTCTCAGACTCTCGATCTTCGTTTCTAAACAAACTCTAAAAACATGCTTGTTGATACGCCCCAGTATTACCTGACGACTTTACATCTAATGCCAAAGTATTATCCAATTCCAATGCCTTTTCTTCCTACCCAACTACATTGCATTAATGGCATAACAAATCCATTGCGGCATGTTATGTAACAAGTGGCCTTTTTATGAGTAGATAAACATTAAAAATAATATCTAGTTTATCGGTCCAACGGCCGGCTAGCGGATGACCGTCTGTGCCGAAGATGCAGTAGATTATCTAGAACATAATTCAGGTGTGGGGAGGCAGCGATTCCAATTTGGTCTCTTCCCCTTGATTTAATAAAACTGTTTTCTCGCATTTCTAGCATGAATATTTATCATGGGGGAGTACAGTCGGAGCCATAATAACGCTCACCTGCTGGCGTGCTCGGCAGGTGTGCGTGGCGCTGCTCACCTTCCTGCAGCAGGACGCGGCGGCGTACGTGCGCGGCGGCTGGGGGCTGCGCAAGGCGTGGCGCGTCTACCAGCACACCTACAGCCAGATCCTGCGCCTCTACAAGCAGAGCTTCCCCGCCCACGCGCCGCCCCCCGGTGAGTCCTCGCCGCCCCCTCGGCTCGCGCGCCCACTTTTACACAATGGACCAAATGCGACTATTTTTTTTCTTCTTCTTGCGATCCTTCTTATTTTTTTAAAAAATTAAAAAAAGTTTCTTACAAAGTGGATTAGCGTTTTGCAAGAGAGCTTTGATATATTAATAAATGGCTAGCTTATTTTTTGCCTTAATATGAACGAGGCCTCTTAGAGTCCTCAATTTCAATTTTTGGATTATGTAGTTGGGGTGATTCGGAGGAATGGTAAAGCATTAGGAATTAATACCATTAGGTACTAATGTTAAGGTGAATTTGTCTTTGTGCAATCTCGATTGAATTCTTTCGGCGTAGAATTTTTCAAGTCGAAAATTACTTGCGGCTGCAAAAGACGGTAAGGTTTGGAAAAATGTAATGGAAAGTGTGGAAATGAATTGCGCTGTTTTGGATAAATCAAATTGTTTATGCAATTGATTACTAAAACCTTCTA